GGGGGGGGGGGGGGGGGGGGGGAATTGACTAAGAAAAGGAAGGAAAAAAGCATTTCAAGCAAAAGATGAGTAAATGCAAAGACACAAAGGTGAGCATCAAATTAATTCAGGAATGTGAATGTAGTTCAGTTCTGTATGACTGAAATACAGATAATGAGGGGAAAATTTGCAATCAATAATATAGAGAAGTAAGCAGAGGCCAGACCATGGAGGAGACCATAACATTATAAGCCATGGGAAGTAATTTAAACTTTATCCTGAAAGCAGTTGGGGACGTATGGGAAGGTTTTAAGCCAAAGAGAAACATAATTAGATTTCATTTTAGAGATACAACTCTGGGAGACTTTCTGGTAAAGATGGCTAAGTAAATTTGAACCACAGATTTTTTTCCTCTTCTAATTCTCAACAAGATAAATGAAATTAAATTTATTAGAGAAAACCTCAGGTTAGTAGAAGCTCTACCTATTAACACTGGTTCTCATCAGAAGCAGGAAAACTCCCAGGACTGTCCATCTTCCTGGGATCCTCACTGAATATGGTCTGAAGATGAAGGTTTATCCCTCTGGGAGCAGGATACACTCCCAACTAAGTAAAAGGAACCATGGCAGAGGACACTAACAAAATGCCAGAGAAGAAAAGCCATCTCTCAATGGGCCTAAAATGTCCAGTTCTCTGACAGTGGCTGCCCGTGGGTCCAGCAAGCATTTCTCATGCCCACCTTAGGCCTTCAGATAACAATAACAAGGAAGGACAGCAACAACCACTCCTTGAGTCTTAGGTGATGCACAGACAGTGGCACGGGATCCTAAATACACTTCTCATCTTCTAAAATTGTGCATGCTAAGTATTGTCTAACTTTTTCTTGATGACTTGAATCATAGAATCACAGAATTTCAGAGTTACAAAGAAGATCAGAGGTTATCAATTTCAATTCTTGATTTTAGATTGAACTACCAAGTCAAGTACCATGCTTAGCTTGATACTGGAACAGCCTTGGGCTTACTACAGGCTTCTGAAATCTGGCATCCCATAAGAAAAGAGTGCTAGCTGTTGACTTTATGAAATGTGTCACATTTGTTAATTTTTATGTCCCTTCCCAGTCCTCTGAGGAATGTGACTCTCTGTAGTTGTTCTTATGCATATCTCATGTGTAGTATTCTGCTTTGGCGTTGTACTCATTACCTATAAACCAGGAAAATAGAAAACGGAGCTTGCTGAATTATCTTTTAAAAGAAGACAAGATCAGGACTAATTTAGCCCTGCCTCAAAACAAGTATATTTCTCCTCTTTCTCTTCCCGGGTTAATTTTCTAAGTGACCTCCATTTACATGAAGTAATAATAGCAATTTCCTTCACAAGTAGAGCAAATCCCCGTAAAGTTGAAACTTTATGTAAGTGAAGTGCCAAAATCACACCCAGCTTTCATTAGTCATATGTACTTTTTCAAAGTGTATTTTACCAGTGGGTATGTTTCCTTTACCTAGACCTCAGATTGCAAATGTTTACAATGCACAAAATAAGTAAAAGAAGTTCCTGAGCTATCAGGAATATAGCTAGCACAGGAGTGTTTATTTCTAAAGAAGGGATACCTTCAGGCAATTAACTCCATTGCTTAGAATTGTGCAGAAAAGAAAAATGAGCTAAGTTAGCAATTTATTTTATCTTGTTTCCTTAAAGTGTCTGATTATATCCAATAAGAAGAAAGAATAGTAAGGAAAAGCTATTTAAGTCACACTAAAAAGTGAAGCTAACTTTCTTAATTTGTTCTGATTGTGTTTGTGCAACAGAGATGTACATGCAGACAGACAGTTCTATACATACTTAAGAGGACAATAGCACACAAAGAATATAACTCTATTGCATTAAGAGTTATTTCTAGGCTAGGCACGGTGGCTCAAGCACTTTGGGAGGCTGAGGTGAGGCTGAGGTGCTCAAGCACTTTGGGAGGCTGAGGCTGAGGTGAGAGGATTGCCTGAGCCCGGGGGTTTGAGGCCAGCCTGGGCAACTTGGTGAGACCTCATCTCTACAATAAATCACAAAAATTAGCTGGGCGTGGTGGTGTGTGTCTGTAGTTCCAGTTACTTGGAAGGCTGAGGCAGAAGGATCCCAGCAAGTAGAGGCTGCAGTGGCTGTGAGTGTGCCACTGCACTCCAGTCTGGGTGACAAGAGTCAGACTACAACTCATAAAAAAAAAAAAAAAAAAAAAAAGAGTTATTTCTAAAGCTTTGAACAGTGGGGGGAAATAACTTAAATTTCCCATGTCTTAGTCTCAAACATTTTTTAAAAATTTTTAATGAAAATATTTTCAAAGTATTTAATGCTTCTTTTTTAGGAACTCAGACATTTATTCTATTTTATTTTTAATACTTTTCACCAAAGTTTCTTGGCTGATTTAGTACATGAAAATGCAACTTCTAAAAACAGAAGACTATCCCTAGTCAGACAGTCTTCTCTAATCTTCATAGGTAAGTTTATTTCTTGATTTGGTAGGCTTGGAAAAGTGATTTCACTTCATGCAAACTCTACTGAAGAAAGAAGACTCCAAAGAAGGCAGGGACTGAGAAGAGGCAAAGGCTGTGGTGGGCCAAGACCTTATCAGTGCACGGCTGGGGAGTGTCTGACAGGATCCAGGCTACATGCTCAGCTGAACACCTTGAAGATGCTTTAAATGAGCTCTTCTAATACCACAGCCCAAGGACTTTGCTTGGTTAGTAACGCTGTCAAATACACCAGCTACACTGTTAGCACAATTTGCTAAGAGATCAGGGAGAGAAACATAACATCATGAATTAGAAGGCAACAAAATATTGTTTCTCTTCATTCTTTTCCGAAGGAAGACATTTTGGCTGAGGCAAAGCTCTATGAACAAGGCCCTTGTCTCCAACATTGTAGTTACTCTTCTTAAATGTTCATAAATTATTAAAGGTTATTTTAATCATCTAAAATTTCATTTCATTTTTATTTAATTTTCTTTGATCCTCTAACTTTCTTATTTAATTTAATCTAAAACTTTATGTACTTTTGAGTTTATGCTTTATAGACAGAACAGTTTTCCTGAATTCTTCTGGGTTCTCTCCCATCTTACTAACTGCAAATTTGTCAGTTATGGGAACCATATTTTACATCTGCTTAGATTTCCCCAGTACAAGTGCATGAACTAGAGAGGACATTGCAATAAATATTCCCGAATACACACTGAATGAAGTAAAGGTAATTCTCAAACAGAGTAAGCCATTTTCTTTTTCCAAAAGATACCATAACAGATTGTTCACCAGAACAAATCCAAACATAAATACCTGCAGGTACTGCTTTTTTGCATCACTTCTGCCCTGTGATAGCCAGACAGCTTGCAAAATCCATCATTGCTGTACACGATAGGCCAGTCCACTATCTGGGCATTCCCCAACACAAAATTAGTATCTGTTAAAAAAAAAAAAAAAGAAGAAGAAGAAAAAGAAAAAAAAGAAGAAAGAAAGAAAAGGGCATGTGAGGCAAGACATTAGTTGAGATTCGCTGAGGACATAAATAATGTCAACAATCCACATATTTCTATTTCCCTCCAAAATACATATACAGGAGGAATATGGTCCTGTGAGGAATACAAAAAAGGGTTTTAGAACTGAACATTTTAAATGCAAATGCTAACTAAGGTCACTGCACTCCAAAAAGATGTTAGTAAAGAAAGCATACTTAACCAGTCAACCGCAGAAATCCAGTGGATTCTCATGAGACATATTTAAATCTTAATTTTTTATCCCAGTAAAAGTATACTGATATTACAAAGCAAGAGAGAACCCAAAAGTAATGTCTTCTGGGCTCTGTCCAGCATCTTAGCCTTTTCAGTCTTTTGGCCAGAAGCTAAAAATGTGCCTTCTTGACCCTGATTAGAATTTGCTCATCCTGGGAGAAAGACTTCTCAGAGAAGCAGAGGGAGGGATGCTGAGCACTATCTCATGGAAAATACACACCATGGGACCCTCTGCTTGGTAAGGAATAGTGAGTGACTAGATTCTCTTAACACAAGAGCTTTGTAGAGGCTGATCAAGATGCTCACACAACACAATCCTCTCACTGATTTTGAGATGTTGCAGTCACAGAGTTGCTTTTGGGAGCCCTTTCACAGAGAAGTCACCTACCAGTCACTCGTAATGCAGGGTGTAGGTAGGCCAGGTATGTTTGGCTGGTGTTTCTCACTATTTCTCACACCTTTGAAAATCAAGTCTTCAATACTTTTTGTGCTCAGAAAATTAACTGTCCCTCCTTTCTTCTCAAGAACTTAAATTAAGCAAATAACATCCAGGACTTAAATATAAGTATTATTTTAGTTTGACTCCCTCCTCTCCACAGAAGACCCACCCACCTTCCCCCAAACCCACCCTCTGGAAAGGGTATTGTTTATGTATGTGTGTACACACACACACACACACACACACACACACACACACACACACACACGGACCAAGTAGAGTGAAATAATGGTAATATATAATGTCCTCATTTGATTGAAAGGTTAATTTTGTTCTAGGACAGCATTTACAATTTATTCACAATATGGATGACCATCCCTTCAGATGGGCTTCTCCATCTGGGAATCAGGAAAAAAAGTAGCTCCAAATGTAGAAAGCAGGGAAGGAAGCTAATTTAAAGTATTCGGTACCAAATGGTTCAAAGAATAGAAATCCCAAAAATTAGTTATCCAGGGGTAAAGGAGGTCAGGACTTGATGATATTCTTGATCATTAGGAACAACATAAAAAGTCAATAAAAATGTTCAATTTGAGAGTCAGGAGAGGGAATTAGAAACTCAAAATCCATACAAGAATAGAAACCAGATCATACTGTTACATCATTGAATAAATAAGATGAGCACCTTATTTCTAATTTTTAAAACCAATACTTAATCATACACAATAATATTTAACTATCATAAGTATCTTACTTTAATCTCACCAATTCTGATACTGTAAAAATACAGATGATAAAAGCTTAGAGAGGGAAATAATGAAGAGAATAATAGATGGTGTCTGTAGTTGATAAAATAAAAAGAAAGCCATAAATATTTTACTTTAAGTTGCAAAGGTAAACATTTATAATTATATTAGTAGCAGGGGGTAAGGAGTAAGATTAAGTAAACTAAGACCTCAGTTAAATTAACAGAAGCCAACAGATAATGTCTAAAATTGATAAATCTAGAAATAGCTATAATGCATGTTAAAGAGAGAGATGGCAGAAACTATAAGAAGAAAGAACTAAAATTAGAAGACATGGTCTCTGGTGAGTAGAATGGGAGAAGAGACAAGGCGCAGGATGATTGTTTTTCATTATAAGCTCTTCGGGTTTACTTTTGTAACCATGAACTTATTGACTTTGATAAAAATAAGTCCATACTTAATGTTTAATTAATTTAATCATAAAAGATTAATTTATTGATTGAATTTTTCATTTACTGAAAAATGAGAGCAAGATAGATTTCAAGTTCCATATATCACTGCAACTTCTAGTAAGAGTGTTCTGATCATCTTTTAAAGGTATTCATAGGCCATACAAGTCCACAAGTATTCCCACAGTTCCTGGGCTGCGTATTACAGTCCCACCTTGGAAAAATCAAGCCAAATAGCATCTTCTTTAACTTTAGAAAGGAAGCAGAAAAATAGGAAGTACAATAGGAATAGAATCGTCAGCCTATCATCCACTCAGTAGATTCTCATCATAGAATTTAAAATTCCAAAACCATTTCCTCTCACTGCTAACCCAAGAAAGAGATTATAGCTCCCAGGGAGCAAGGTTCCCTTGCCATTCTGTGATAGAAGTCTAGCAGTTCCCTGTTTTCTTCCCTGAGAGAGTGGAAGAAAAAATTATAGTCCCAGCCACCAGGCCTCCAACAGTAAATAAATTCTTTCCCCTCTCCCTCTCCTATTGCTAGCACATACATTCTCTTCTAAGTCTAAGCTACAAATATTTTGCCTGTAAATTACCTTTCAGAATACAATCTGTCTATAAGTTAGAGGCTACCCATACAAATATCATGACACCACATATATCATCAGGAACTAAGGGATTCCATGTAAGTGATATTCTAGGTATTGGAGAGAATGGGTACCATTTATTGATATTTATTCTGTACCTGGAACTGTTCTAAGTACTTTACCATATATTATGGTATTTTTTAACTTTTACATCAATCCTTGTGAGGTGCTGTTACTTTACTGAATGAAGTGCCAGATTTCATCTTTTTACTTATAAGAAAACTGAGTCTCTGAGGATGTACAGAGCCAGTTATACCAGGGCAGAGTTGGGATTTGAACCTGGGTCTATCCAACTTCAAAATCCATGCTTTTAATCATTTTACTACACAATCTCCTTATACTATTAAGTACTAAAATCAAACCATTTCTATATTGTCATCATATATTATTATTCTACCTTGTGATATACAATGATACCCTTAAGAAGTATTGATGTGGATATGAGTAATTGTTGCACCTCTAAATGCTTGGGTTCTCTTGCTTATCATTTCAATGTTCTATTTCTTCCATCACTTGAAAACTACCAACTTTTACTGATTAAAACTGTGTCTGACCTATTTCTATAACACTGCTGCTTCTACATAATAATAAAAGAAGATGAAGAATAATAGAAGGAGAAGAGGGAAGACTTTGTGCTGGATTCCCATGTGACAGTTGGGGATAAGAGAAAACACCACACTGAATGACCCAAAGATGCTGTTGGGAAAACCTGGTGATGTCAGCATTCTTGAGCCTTTCTCAGTTTCCATGGGGTCTGTAAAAGACCCAAAAGTTCCCACTGCCTTGTGGCTGCTGAATTTGCATAAACAGATGATTATCACAGTGAAGTGAGCTCACATTATAGCTAAGGGCTGCATATCAAACTGCTCAAACCTAGGATCAACTGGGGTAGGGGGTATCAGGCAAATATCAGAGATGAGCTGTAGGGCTAATGAGAGTCTAGATTAGATCAAGTCACACACAGAGACATATACACTGAAAAAAGAACATGTGTGTTGGGCTGCGGTTGGGGTAGCAAGTTTTGTTCAATTCAAGAGAATGGAACACAAGTTCACAAACTGTGGACTTTAGCCTCACAGATCAGGTGAGCATCCAGTGACCAGCAGACCAGAGACCATTCATAGAAACCTAGGGAACAAGAGAATAAAAATAAAGCCACACATTTGGAGGTTATGGGGCTCCCGAGGTCAAACAAGTGCCGTTTGCTTCCACCTCACACACTAACTTAGAGAAAAGCAATGGGGAACCAGCACAAGGACTCTTTGACAACAACTTTGCTTAGCCAAGGCTTCTTAATTCCTCCAGGTGGTTGGCCATATTCCTGATGGGTGAGAATGCCAAATAAGAGAGCTCCAGTGAAATGACACAGTTTCTAGCCAAATGCATGTATTCCACATCCAAACATAAATGGCTATGGGATTATTTACTGTTTTCCACACTCATTAAGTGGAAACCTAATTTGGAGCTAAGAAAAACTGAATTAAGGAAGTAACTTACTACATGGACAAAACATAAAAAATAATAATTTCTCACACAAATAAATGGAAAGATATCCCATGTTTATGGACTGAAAAAATGAATACTATTAAAATGTCTGTACTACCTAAAGTGATCTACAGATTCAATGCTATCCCCATCAAAATTTCAATGACATTCTCCACAGAAATTTTAAAAAATCCTAAAAGCAAATAGATTTGCTAAACTCATTCAAAATACCCTCATGGAAACACTGAGAATAATGTTTGACTAAATATCTGGGCACCCCATAGCCCAGTCAAGTTTACACATAAAATTAGCCATCACAAACACCAAAGCCAATGCTCTTAATTGTATAACTTCTGCAATAATCTATAATGGAAGCAGCATAGTTACAGCTTACAAATTCTGTAACACCCTTAAAATCCCTGGTAGTACTCTGGGTTTGGCAAGACTGAGTAGTGGGCTATAAGGTTCTATTTTGATAAAGAGTTTTTACATGGGCAACATTTATCCTTCCATATCTGGAGTTTCCACTGAGAGGAAGGAAAATCCACTGACTCTTAAAAAGAGGAAGTGTTAGAGTGAATACTTTTGTCTTCTCTCTGGATTCTTCTCACCATACTTCCATAATCATATTGATCAATCTACCAGTAAGTATCTCAGGAGCAAGAGGAATTCCCTGGGTGTCTTGACCCCTCAAATTTGCTTGTGCCACAGTATAGTGTGAGAAGAGAGAATCTGAGCTACTTGTCCCCTTATGGTACTTAGAACTACTTGTGACAGGCCCTGCTAGACCTCTGCTCTGTTAGCTCCAGCTTCTTGGCCTAGGAGTAGGCCAGCAACTCATAGTCTGGAAGCCAAGGTTTACACTTGGGGAAGGAGACAAATGGCATCACCATGTCCTCTAATCCAGTGT